GCCAGAAGGGTAAGAATCTGGAGCTCCTTGCAAGGAGCCAAGTGGCCACCAGCTGCCCCACAGGGAAAGATGGGCTTCCAGAGCAGCCGCTGCCCACCCCCCACCCCCCGGTCTGGCAGGGGGCTTGGAGAGAGGGAGAGACTAGGCGTGGGTGCCGGGCGTGCCTAAAGCTAACTCAGCACCCTGTGGGCAGGCGAACCCTGGCCGAGGACCCTCGACAGAGCCCAGGCCAGACCGTCTCTCTCCCCTTTGCCCCCCCGGCCCCAGTTCTTGGATGGAGGGGCCCCCACTCAGGCAGGCAGGCCGGCAGGCCCCTGGCTCCTTCCCCCCCCTCAGACCTCCTGGGAATTCAAGTCTTAGCCCAGCGCAGGGCAGTCCCAGACTAGCCTCGGTGGGGGAAGCTTTGGATGCCCCACGAATCAGGGCCCCACCCGACGGGCAGCCTCTCCAGCCCCCCCCCCCATCCTCCCTGGCTGACGAGATGGATGGAGACCGCCTGGCCTGCAGGCACTCCAGGCAAAGAGGAGACATGCGCACCCTTGCTGTGCCGGCGGCAGTGGCGGGGGGGACACACACCCGGGGTGGGCCCACAGGAGCCCGGGCCAAGGTACCCGCCTGCCCCAGGGAAGCTTCTCAGAGGGGCGTCTCCTGCTTGTACTCGTAGCCACAGGTCGGGCCTTCGAACTGCAGCTTGATGGCAGCCTTGAGGTGCAGGTGGGGGTCCAGCAGGTCGAGGGAGGGGGCCGGTGGGGGGCCCGGTCCGGCGCAGAGCTTCTCCTGAGCGGCCGAGGGGTGGCCGGTGGCCAGGGCGGCCTGGCGCCGGCGGGGCAGTGAGTGCTGCTGGATTTGCTGGGCAAAGCTGAGGCTGTCGATGGGCACCGTCTGGGCCGTGGCCAGCGAGTGGAACGTGGAAGAGGTGGCGCCCGAGGAGGAGCAGTGGGACGACACCTGGGATTTGCAGCGCTCACCCCCGACCGAGTCCAGGGAGGCCGAGGGGGAGCTGCCCTGCTTGCCAGGGGTCACTGGGCTGCTGGCCGAGCTGCTGGCCGAGCCCCGCGGCGGGGAGGCGGGCGCGGGCGAGGGGGCTCCAAAACCCTCCAGCAGCCTCAGCACGGCCTGGTGGCCCTGCCTGGCCGCCATGCGCATGGGGGTGCGCCCCGCCTGGTCCAACACGTTGGGGTTGGCCCCATGGTCCAGCAAAACCCTCACCACCTCAGTCTGGCCCTCCTGGGCAGCCACAGCCAGGGCGGTGGCCCCCTGGTGGCAGGTGTGGTCCGAGCGGGCCCCCCTCTCCAGCAAGAGGCTGGCGATCCGGGGGTCACCCTGCCAGGAGGCCAAGTGCAAGGGCGAGCGGCCCTCCCGGTCCGGACTATCCACATCGGCCCCGTAGCTCAAGAGCAGCTGCGTGGCCTCCACCTGGCCCTGCCAGCAGGTGACGTGGAGCGCCGTCCGGCCTTGGGAGTCCCGCCCTTCCAGGCTGGCCCCCGCCTCCAGCAGCAGCTCCGCCATCTCTGTGCGTCCTTCCAGCAGCAGCAGGTAGAGCAGCGGGCGGCCCTCCGCGTCACACAGGTTCACCTCCGCCCCCTGGCGCAGAAGCAGCTCCGCCGTGGACCGGTGGTTGCCCAGCGTGGCCAAGGAGAGGGCCGAGAGCCCGTCGAAACTCATAGAGACCAAAAGGCTCGCTCGCATAGGAGCCGCACCACGTCCGTGTGCCCTTCCTGGGCCGCCAACATCATTGGGACCCGCCCGTCACGGTTGGTCTCAACCACGCGGGCCCCCGCCTCAAGAAGCGTGGCACAGGTCCTTGCGTGGCCCTGCCAGGCCGCCAGGTGCAGGGGGGTCCAGCCCAACCCGTCCCGGTGGTTCTCGTCCAGGCCCCGCTCCAGCAAGGCCCTGACTACGGCTTCGCTGCCCTGCCCGGCGGCCACCCCAAGAGCCGTCCGCCCCTCGCTGTCCAGCACGTCGATGGACGCCCCCCAGAGCAGCAGCGTGTCCACCACTGCCCGGTGGCCCATGGAGGCGGCGGCCAAAAGGGAGGTGCATCCAGTGCCGTCAGCCTCATCCACGTCGGCGCCGGCGTCCAGCAGCAGTTCAACCACGTCCACATGGCCTTCGTAGGCCGCAACGAGCAAGGGGGTCATGCCGTCCCGGTCAGCGTGTCCTGGGGAGGCTCCATAGTCCAAGAGCAACTCCACCACTTTGGCATAGCCACGGCTAGCGGGGACGCACAAGGCAGCCACCGAAAGGGCAGTGCGTCCATCCACGTCAGTGTGGTCCACGTGAGCCCCGTGGGCTAAAAGCAGGGCCACGATTTCGCGATGCCCCATGTAAGCAGCAGCAATGAGTGCCGTGCGCCCCTCTGTGTCAGCCCGGTTGACATCTGCCCCGTGCTCCAGCAGCGTGGCGACAATGTCCTCGTGGCCGCCCCAGGCAGCCGCTCTCAGCGCCGTCCTCCCCTCCGCATCAGCACCGTCCACGTTGGCGCCAGCTCGCAGCAGGACACCCACGGCTTCACTGTGGCCCCCCCAGGCAGCAGCGCGCAACCCTGTCCAGCCCTCACGATCCGGGCGGTCCACGTTGGCCCCGTGGGCCAGCAGGCACAGGAGGACCTTGGTGTGACCCTGGCGGGCAGCCAGCGTCAGGGGCGTCTGTCCGTGGCGATCGGGAAGCTCCGTTTTGGCCCTGCGGGCCAGCAGCAAGGCCACCACCTCGTGGTTGCCGCTGTGGGCGGCGCTGGCCAGCAAAGTCCTCCCGTTTGTGTCCCGCTGGTTGACGCTGGCCCCGTTCTC